TATCGCCACCGACGTGCTAACCCAGCAGCCAGCGACCAAGACGAGCCTTTCGTGACAATTCCAGGCCTTGCTGGTGGCGCCGTCGGAACCAAATATGATTGGAACCTCACGTACAGCGCAAATCCGCAGATCAACAATCGTTCTATTCCTATTCCTCTAGGAAAAGTCGTTGGCGGATCGACTAAGCTTAACCGCATGGTCTTCGATCGTGGTTCGCAATCTGATTACGATACATGGGAGGTCCTTGGAAACAAAGGATGGAACTTTCAAAGCATTTTGTCCGGTTTCATAAAGGTACGTTTGTTTTGCTAGCAGCCTCATTGATGATTCTAACCGGTTTTCAGTCAGAGACGTTTACACCACCAACGGCAGCAATCCAGGCCGAATACGACATCAAGTATAACCCCAACAATTACGGCACCAAGGGCTACATCCAAACAACTTTCTCTTCCTTTTTCTGGCCGACTACCAGTAAGTTTTTCAAGCGAAAATAGATTGCCTGGCTTTTGTTAACATGCAACAAGAAAATTTCATCAACGCTGCTAAAGCACTTGGCATTCCGATCAATGACCAAGCTACAGGCAAGGCAATTGGTGGTTACTTCTGCCCGCACAACATGGACCCCAAGACCGTGACGCGTTCTTCCGCAGAAGAAGCATACTATGCCTCTGCACAGAAGCGCTCCAATTTCCATCTTCTAGCCAGCCACCAGGTGACGCAAATACTCACAGAGAAGGTAAACGGTGTACCCAAAGTGACAGGCGTTAAGTTTGCCACTTCCGCTTCCGCTGGTGCGACAAGCCAGCAAACAAAAGTCAAGAAGGAGGCTATCCTTGCCGCTGGGGCACTGCACACACCTCAGCTGTTGCAAGTTTCCGGTATTGGCGACCCTTCTCATCTTGCTTCCATCAATGTGTCAACTGTTGTGGATCTCCCCGCGGTTGGACACAACCTCCACGACCATGTGTCCGTTTTCGTGCTCAACCAACGTAAGCAAAGTTTCTCTTCCCCTAATAGACCTAACGCTGATAACACAACAGTCAACACGACGATTCTTACAAACGGTGTCCTGCAATCGAACGCCACGTTCGCTGCTGAAGCTCGGAAGCAGTACGAGGACTCAAGGTCTGGTCCATTAACTACCCCAACTGGAGACTTTCTTCTCTTCCTTCCTCTCTCGACTTACTCCAACGCCACAAAAGCCATCTTATCGCAAGCTATTGCAGCTGGACCATCCGCCTCCCTTCCAAAGGACGTTCCCGCCGAAGTCGCGCGCGGTTACAAAGCACAGTTTGCTGCTCTTAACAAGAAGCTCGAGGCCAAAGACTCAGCCATCCTGGAGTTGATCTGGGCAGACGGTCCTGTGGTAGTTGGGCTACAGCATCCATACTCGCGTGGGCATATCAAAGCGGCTTCTTCCAGTATATTCGACGCTCCTATTGCTGATGTGGGTTTCCTGCGAAATGAAGTGGACATCACTCTCCTGCGTGAAGGCCTTCGTTTTGCTCGGAAGCTCTGCGCTACACCGCCAATCGCGTCACTCAACCCAACTGAAATCATTCCTGGTCCAAGCGTCTCAGAGGATAGGGATATTGACTCTTGGATCCGCGGCGCTGCATCAACGCTATTTCACCCTGCAGGCACATGCAAAATGGGCCCCAGAGATCAAGGAGGTGTCGTAGATCAGCATCTTCGTGTGTACGGTGTGAAAGGCTTGAGAATCGTGGATGCGAGCACCATACCCATGTTGCCAGCCGCCCACACTATGACTACCGTTTATTCAGTAGCCGAGAAAGCTGCAGGCATAATCAAAGCAGGGTTCTAAATGGATACGTTTGTAGATATACTTTGCAGTCAGGCCGAAAAGCTTAGCGGACTTGATCAACGGCATTTCTTTGTAAATATAAACATGTAACAGTTTTCTCAACAGATGATATTAGGGTCTTCTTGCCATAGTGCAAATCTCGAGCTATCGTCCTATTTCCAAGTTCTTCTCTGTTTCATAGAAATTCTTTTTGGACTCATGGTAACAGCGGTGAATTATGCTCTGCGCCAATGCAAACACGTAGATTGCTTAGAAATGCCTCTTCCAGCAAGACATAATGACCGGTTTGATCTTGCATTCACAAAACATAACCTGTGAACGTGTCCATGAAGCTATTATAATCACTGTAAGAGCAATGTCAGTGTTAAGCGCTGCGCAACGCTTGGTCGAGTATCAAGATGGTTCTTCACCTCCGGAAAGATCTTCCAATGACTCTGTGAGTGCGTCAAAGTTAGGCTTTGAAGCTGTTCACTACATTATTCAAAGGATTTGGTGACCTGAATTAGTGCTATCATATATGTGCTACCACATCCAGTCTGATTACTGAATGTCCTTACACGTCTAGACCTCTTGCGTAGACTTCACACCAGGTATCAAATAAACAGTCAACGCGCCACAACTGAATCAAAAGTGCGCAGTTACCTTAGATTTGCGTTTAAGAAAATATCCATTCGTTGAAGATTGTTTCCCAGAATGTCTCTATCTTATACTCCAGCAGTAGTCTCACAGAGCCGCCTGGTCTAATATAAAGTTTAGTCTTACCACAAGTAATCTGCACGCAACAGCTCTGAGAGAAATGGAGCATGACATGCGTGCAAGATTGGAATTTCTAGAAAACTGTCATTCAGTGGTGCCATTGTGAAGAGGACTGTCATATAATCTCTGTGATGGATGAGTTATCGTAGATGGCGAAGCTAGACTCCTCGCGAGGCTCATGCGAGTGATCCATATCTGTGCCTTTATTCTATGTCTTATGCATTAATTTGACTGCATCCTGGGTTTGTTACAAACACCTGAAAGAGATGGTTTGGTCAGGGACTTGACCATTATAGTGTCTAGTTGCTATGTGTGGAAGTATCGCACATGCAGAGAATCTTCGAGCTTCGGGCGATTGAAGTCATCAAGGCGGTGACCAATGAGTACAACGAAAATGATGTGGTACAGGATCATAATTGAAAAATAGTCTGGCCAGGAATGGATCTTATATGCTAAGATACTGCGCACAGTGCCCCAGATATGTACGTTGCTCTGAACGGAGTGCGGTTGTTTTCATGTATTGACTGAAGAGTCGCGAAAAAAGACCCACTCAGATAAAGAGGCTTTGTATGTGCACTGACAAACCAAAGCGGTCGTGTCGTCGTACCTACTGCGAAAGTGCGGATGTCACTGGGAATTGAGACAAGTCGTATTGGCGCGGGCCGATCTTACGTTCCTCGCCCCCATGATTCATCGTTTACCGTGTGAGGCCGATTGGCTCAAAGTTTCTAAACATTGAAGTTGTATAGTGTGATGAATCAATCGGAGTTGACGTGCATTCATACACTTGTTTGAAAGCTATTAGAACACAGTTTGTTACAGGTCGATCTAACGATTTAGGAAATGTCATGGATGGTAAATGGCCATCGCTGTATTGACAGTAAACGACTAATTTACAAAAGCTTAGACTAATACGGAAAAATGTTCACAAAATTCTGCATCTGGATGACCATAATTTCGGGCCTAGTCTTTCATCCTTTCATCACTTTCATGTTTGCGCTAGCTATCCTGAAAACTTCTTACTACCCTTGCCCTTGTATTTATTTATTAGAGAATTTCGAAATAAGTATTCGTACATAACAAGAGAGCGAATTTGCAGAGTAATCTTGGGATTGCTTAGCCGACCCAAGTTAGGAGCATGTCAAGAGAGTGGGTGGCGTTCATACTTGAGGATCAAATTGTTCGTAGTATCCCAGCATGTAGTTGGCGTGGGGCGATATCTCATTGGAGATTTCCCATGAACATCCTACATAATGTTTGTTGTCAATCTCAGCGTGGTCATTCCGCAACACATTGTGCTGATAAACCACGTGAGAGCAAGGATCTGTCTTATAGTAACAGACGGCTCGTAAGTATATGAGCAAGTCCCGCATCACACACAGTAATGTGCAATTACGGAGCTCGTTTTTAGAAGTTATAGCTAACAGAATTAGTAGTCCTCGCTAATAAAGGTGTCTATAATACTAGAGTAGTAGCGCCAAATCCTTACATAGTTGGGATTGAGTTCTATCTTCTTATAATTCAAAGCCTTTCACACTCTTATACAATCAATATATCTAGCTGAAAACGTAGTGTTTTACTGTCTATAACTTTATGTCATTAGATTAAGAAAACATATTGGCGCTAAGAAACATATTATGCCAATAGAGGTAACACTAGCAAGAAGTTCTAGCCACCACCGCTAAGCTGGCGATAACTTTTGAAAGCGACCTCCGTACTAGTGAGCATACTAAACCCTTCCTATCAAGCAGCAAGTATTCTTCAGCCTAACATGCACTACCTTACATATGTATCCAACAGAGGGTTATTCAGGTGTGTCAGCTATTGCAAAGCAATCGGGAATGAAATTCTCCGAACTCCGCCTTGGGTATGCATCGCGTACCATGCTAAAGTACACGGAAAGGCTTCAGCGGGCCCAGACTCGCGTATGATATTACTGCATAGTCGAGGATAAGCTCATTGTAGGCTCGTGTCATCCTAAGGTGGGGTATATCGGGCCTTTCAAGACCAATGTTTCTTTCCTGGGCGCTCGGCGATGTTTTTTTAGATTACCGGCCATAAGCCAAGTCCCCTGTAATGCAGATAGCACCGAATTATGAACAGTGCAACCTGTCTAAAGTATACCTATCTTCGAGCATCTGGCGCAGAAGCTTGGCTGGGAAATGCAAAGAAATCATCTCCTGCCTTGTTGATTGGCTGTGCTTGGAATTAATTTTACCTGGCAAGGGCTGCTGCCAAATTTGCAATCATTTTATCCATCGGCGAGACCTTCGTCAGCTCACCCATCTGACCATCCAAGCGGTGAGAAGCTTCCTACAGTTAGATGATGACAGGGTTTACCTAACAGAATCTCTGAGTGAACAAACGTATTTAGAGCGTATGATGTTCACACCAATTCGTCTCATCCACCCCGCTCCCCATCCCAAAACTCCAACAACCGTTCCACGCAGAATATTTTCTCAAAATGCGCGCTATTATTCTCGCTGCCGCAGTTCCAACAGCGCTAGCTTTTTGGAATGAAAAACTCTGCAATGGCAACGGTGGCTGCATATCCTGGGGGTCTGGTCCATCAAACCATCCTTGGGTTTGCCCGGATGGTAGCCGCCTGACTATGCCTATTTATATTGGCGACTGGCGAGATGCTGGCGCAGCAAGCGTTCCAGCTGCGACCCAGGAAGAATTTCCCAAGACTTGCTACGGTGGGAAATATCCTGCTCCTGGTGAGAAGCTGATGGTACGTGAAGTCTTGCCTTGTTTTTGCTAAATATGTAATGTTAAAGCTAATCATTTGCAGAAAACTACCACACGTGGTGGTCAAACACTATATACATGGATATCTTCGAACTGCAAAGACGGGAAGCCAGCAGCGCCAGGCAACTGTTATCACTTCAATCCCAATCCATCAGTGTAAGTTTCCACTGAGAGCCTTAACGTAATCACGCATGCTGACGGGTTCGCAGTACCAATTTTTGCGCAATGTATGACCCGAAGGGAGGCCAATGTAAGACAAACAGGGATGCAGGAGAGTGTGAACGTTGGGGCGGTACTACTGTACGACCGCAGTGCAATTACTGGAAGCCAGGCCTTCAGGATCTTCCTGATCCGAGTTATCAGGGCAAAGGTGATGAATAGAGACCTTATTCACGTGTTTAACTATGTATACCAATCTGACAGTATGCCTCCCTGAGGTGTTTACGATCTGTGTGGTGTTGTTGATGGCGTTCGTTCCGACTGCGAATCGAGCTTCAGCTTAGGGATACCTAGCCCTCAACCTCACGTGATTCAGCAACCAGTGAAACCGCAATTGTTCAACACCTACATGTGTCTTATGATATTCATTCAACCCTGGGGCATTACGGATTGTTGCGCTCGCCGATGGGTTTGGACATTCGCTCGCCAAAGGAAGACCCATGGTCCGCGGGCTTGGCGCACTTTCCTTTCGCTATTTCAATATCCCTCCTCGCTCCAGACATGCACGCATGAGCAAAATCTGAGCCCGTAGCCTCGCTGCCCTATATTCAAACTTCGGCCTATTACTATACATCTGTTTGAACTCGCACTTGAATGGAGAACAAGCAGAACTCTTAGAATGGCACTGGAACAAGAGATGAAGCGAACAGGTGAGTCCATTATCACGACGCAGCTATGGTAACTATACTAGCCTGCGCACTAGTAGCATCACATGTTTCCACCACCAAAGAAAAATGCCAGCTTCTTACGTGGGCAGCGTTGTTCACATTGGTTTACAGTCATCTCTTGGAAAGGAGAGAGAAGCCTGCGTACCACCAGCTATTTTGATCTAGGAACCGCTTTGGAACAAAGCCTTCATGGGATCCACCATAGAGGGGCCTCGACCTGTAGACCAGGCTCCATGGCCGACGGTTCTACACAAGCAGCAGCACACAAAAGAAAGGGGGAGACTTACCTGTAATGATGAGGAAGAAGAAATGTCGTAGAAGAGGAGGAGAGGAGGGCATTCAATACTACGGTGATGGGCCGGAGCTCGCGATCGCGACAACAATACGTGCCTTCGTGCTCTCAATTAAGGGAAGCCACTGCGGTGTGTCCCTTGGATGTTATTACCTCCTGGGGGAAGAGCCTCCTCACCACTTTCCATACAATCGAACACACTTGTTTATTTGTCGCGTGGTAAGGGTGACTTAGTTTCCCCTTTCCCAACGCTTACCAGCATTTGATTAAGTTGAAGGGAAGGATCGTTTAAAATACAGCGCACAATATTACAGCCGTTCCTTCAACTACCTAATGAAACCACAACTTGAAGTCATCCCTTCCCTACCCCCATTCCGACAGGCAGCTATCATTACGGCATTGTCAAGTCGTACCCCTCTTACTATCGTACAATAGGCTAGTACCCTTGATTGTATCGACAGTCCGCACGCACTGCTCGCTCCTCACTACATAGAAGAACTATGACGCATAAGATGCGCTGTTAAACGAGGCATAGCACTAGGCAGGCATATGCTAGCATACAGGAGTGATGTGTAGTCTCAGCTAGGTGCTTGTCTATCTATCACCATGTACAATACATGATTCTCCTCGTATATTAACAACAGCCAGTGAATTATAGCGCGACTTAAACAGTTAGACATCCAATAAGAATGATTGTATGAGGTGGTGCTGGGCCAGATGCGTTTTGCAGTCTGCAACACTATATCTCGGCACTTCGGGATAGCTATTGATCTGAAACCATGTCGACTCGATAATACAGCCGTACTACTCTACATTAGTACAAATTTAGGCTAATCTATGGTTCAAGTTAACCCTGTCGCTATCTGTACTTGTACCCTACTATCATCATAGAATTTAGATAGGTAAATCTATAATACAAGGTTACTATGATTGCAATCCACCTAGCTCTTCCATCAATCCACAAAGAGCCCGAATCAGCGGCGGCCCAGTTTCCCTATCTACATCAGGATGCGTTGCATCAAGAAGCGCCACACCTGCTTTCATAACCTGCCACGGATATCTGAGATCGCATGTGTCTGACTTGGCAGTGTCTTGAACTTCGGACTGCGCACCAGCATCACCGTCTGATATTCGGAGACAAGGTATCCCAGTGTTCATCATGATAAAGGCATTCAAAGCAGACTGGTTAGAACAGCGCGCATCATCTAGAAACACGAGCGTTGGCCCATCGGGTATCGCTGCTACTTCAACTTGGGTAGGAGTATTGAACCCTGTCTTGCGGGCGCAATCGCTTGTTATCATGCTATACGTCCACAGGACCATAATCGAGTGGTATATTATGAATGAGTCCTGGCCTCGATTCTGATATGGAGGGATCGCGCGCGCAGCTTGTAGAACTTGGCCTGCATGTGCTATGATGTCTTAGCAACTCTGGGCCATGGTCTGCTTGTAAGAGCTGTTAGATACGTACCGATTGCTGTGCGAGCTTCCCGAGATTTACACCACGGTTGCAGCGCGATATATGCGCGATGTGCGGCTTCCTCACCACATCGCCCAGCGAACCGAGTAATAGTGTCCAAGTCCGCAAATAGATACATCTGCAAGAATTGCTGGAAAACACATGTCAAGGCGGTTGAGCTATCGAGAACGATGTTGGTGTCTCGTAAACATTCTTGTAACTTTTGTTGGCGAGATCGGGACCATAGTTGAGAAGAAGCGTCACTCATGTCATGGAGAAGTACTGCTTGTTGGCAGTGCTCCCACACTTGCGATGCTAGTCCATGGATATACGCTGAGTGCGCAATATGCGTGTCGAAACCAGCGTGTAGACAAGACACGGACCCTGGTTCCTGGAGAATCGATCGCATAGAGGGACGTGAGCTAGCAAGTTGCATATTCATCATACGCGCCTTCCAAATTTCAGCGGATGGTGCAAGCCACAATGATTCTGAAGCGGGTAGTGGAAGTGTAAGCTCCGCATAGGAAAGCAATGGCTGTCGGTGGTTTACCATCGTCATATATATGTCGTGTTCGAAAAGATGATAAACCAATCTTTTAAAAGATTCGAGCTCAACCCATTGATACCACTTTCTGCTCAGCTCTTCTGCGTCATCTTCTGACGTCAGTACGATGTTAGAATATCGAACATCGTCAAACCTGCCTGCACGGCGTAATGACGTGACAAGTACCTGCAAGGAGCTTTCAGCTAATTCCATCTTACGCCGAAAGCCGCAGAATGCGCCTATGTCCAACCAGAGCATGCAAGCTTGCAGGTACTGTAATTCACGCATGACTCCGTTATCTCGCTCGGCAAGCTCCCTGAGAGAAACTCGGACAATCTCTTGAAGAACAAGTCCAGTCTTATTTACTGACGGTATGCCGAAGCATATGCAACCTGCTACGACCAGTGCTGTCAGGAATTCTGGTCTAGCAGTATCGGAGTGGAACGTGTAGGGATGTATCCAAGCGTCTCCTTCAGTTCGTTTGGCTATACCAACTTTGATAAGCTTGTCAAGACAGTCTGCCGATGGGAAAGATGATATTGTTACTTGACTAGGAGCAGTCTTGAGAACAAGCTGGAGTATTTGATCACGACTTTGTTGTGACAATCGACCAGGAATGACGACGTTAGATGCGTGAGGTTGATGGGGGGAGAGAGCAAGATCCACTTGCCTCTCGTCGAGTGTGATACCTTCTTGCTCACTGAAAGCGTTCTGGTTGCGCTCTGGTACCCAAAACCATGGTGACTGCTTGAATACAGCATGTCGTCGACGCACTGCGTCGCCACTGTTGGTCGCTCGAGCATCATTGACAACAGTGCCACCTGGTGTAGTTGTCGTGCCAACGCGACCGGTATTCAATGATGGCGAGTTGAATGTCTCGTCTATGGCTGGCATGAAATCAGCCCCAAAGAGGTCCACTTCTCCTAGCCAGTCAGTTTCAGGTAGCCATGCGGTAAGACCAGCGGACGGATGCAAGTAGTCAGTCGCAAGAAAATCTGATTGAGTAACCATGATCTGCTCGAAGAAATTCGACAGAGCTTGTGGTGGATTGGCTGTTTCATGATAGATTTCTGAGATGCCTCGGTTAAGGGTAGCAGCATCCATGAATGCATCAACAGGATACATCAAATCAGGTCGTGGTTCTTCTTGGCTCAACAAACGGTCTGATGTCTGCTCGACAGGCGCACTGGAATCAGAAACAGGGACATTATTCTTATCCGGAATTTGCGTGGTACATGTTATGTTTTTCTTAAGGCATCTCTGGCATGGCCGGTAATTGTCGCATTTTACCTTGGAGATGACGCAGGCGTTGCATGCCTTAATCGCTCTCTCAACGGGGCGATTGAGGTTTGGTTGCCCTTCTGCAGCATTCTTTGCATGAGTAGATTGATGTCGAAGAAGTAAGTCTCTGTAATCACAACGCTGTTAGGAGTGGATTTTCGTGTTTCATGTACGCCTCTCGCGATTTTGCAAGTACGTGCCGGGAGCTAGAACTACACCAGCACCAGAAAAGCCAAGATACTACTCACCTTCGATTGAATGCTGCAGAACAATCTCTGCAACGAAAAGACCTTTCGTTCCGATCTGAAGCTCGTGAGCATTATGTCCGAAGGGTGGGGGTCTAATTATTACGCGAGTCCAAATGCCGGTTCAGGTGGTCAAGCCGGTCATAAGTGCGGTGGCACACCTGACATTGTAGCGACGACACGTTGTCCGCGTTGGAGGGCGCTCGAGCCCGCTTTGATGGTCTGATAGTCGTAGCATCGGTTTCTGCTGACATTTGGCAATGGAATGAGTGGTAGCGGAATATGTGGAAAAAATCTGGGGTATGTCGACCCTGCAGCAACGCTGTCGGAACATGTGGGCACCCCTGGGCTTTTTCTCTTCTCCTCGGGTGTACAATAGCCCGCCGTCTGTGGGGACCCCGCACGCCTGGAACCTCGCAGCCGTATCACCAACATTGAATGCGAGTCATGAATCACAAGTGCCCGATCTTGTGACAGGATTTTGATACGATTTCTCGATCACGTATCTTGGTAAGGAGTTGTTAGGATCATGTCCAATTATCATCCTTTGGTCTATGAGCATATTTCCACACATGCGAAAGACGCGGACAAATGCATTAACTCAGTTTGATCTAAAGACCCAATAAGAAGGTTGCCGCGTTGTGCGCTGCCAGAGGCAGTGGAGGACAAGATCAGCTCTGGGACAGGTAGGTTCGGATCTATCCATGGGTGATTTCGAGATCAGTTTGCTTATAGTCGTTGCCACTGGTGCTCGGTTCGGTATCAACTTGTGAAGCTTCCCGAAAGCCACGGGATATGCAAGAACAAGTATAGCCACGGCCGGGAAGTGTATCTCCACTCCTCCATACATCTATACGACGTTATCAATGGAGGATAGGCAACAAGAATTTGATTCCAGGGCCCAATGTAATGTCCTCGCTATCTAAGACGTGCCAAGACCTTGTGTTTCGGATTATGTGGGGGATTTTCGGGCCACATTGAGAACCACACGGGCCGCATCTCGGTAAGTAAGGCATATGATGGGTGATGTGTATCGGATTGTAACAGTTTCGCTCACCCCGCTCGCGATTGGCAATAAGCTACCACTAAATTTCTAAGTGACGTTGCCCAGTATGATCCAAACTACTACACAGACTGTCCCAGCGACATTAAAGGCTGTTGGCGAGAACTTCATGAGGATTGATGGGTCGAAAACTAACTATGGAGATTGGAGAGATGATCTGGCCCGCGACGGTTATGCCGTTGTAAAAGGCGCAATCCCGAGAGAAAGAGCTGATGCTTATGCCAACAGGATGTACGAATGGTTGGAAGGCTTGTGAGTCAGGATGATCCCATCGACTTCTGTAGCAACATTAACACGGTTAATAGCAATTTGGGATTCGATCGAAATGATCTTTCGACTGTCCATAGAGATCGATTACCCACTATCAGTGAGAAGGGCATGTGCCTGAATTATGCCGTAACGCACGAGGACTTTGCTTGGGGTGTACGGGGAGAGCCAGGTGTTGTAGGGGCTTTCGAAAAGATATACGATGACAAGGACCTCATTGTCTCATTCGACGCCATCAACTTTACCTTTCCAAAGTGAGCTACCGTTCTCTACTGCTATCCGAACCAGCTAATCAGGCGATAGCCGAACAGACATAGAGCCCAACAAACCATGGCCCCACCAAGATCAGGATCCAGCGAAACCAGGGTTTAGATGCATGCAGGGCCTCGTAAATCTGTTACCTAACGGTCCAGATGATGGTGGCCTTATAGTATGTCCCGGCGGCCATCTCTTGTCCGATGAGTTCCATAAAGACATGGTCGATGAGCCACGTATTCCAGCATGGACTCCTGAATGGTATGGATTTACAGAAAATGGCATGAGATGGCTCGAGAAAAAAGGTCTGAAATGGGTCAAGGTGTGCGCTGAGCCCGGCGATTTGTTACTCTGGTGAGTCCACTCTTTATTTCAGTCTTCTTTCCTTGATCTGCGTGCTCACTACAAATAAGGGATTCCCGTACTCCTCACTACAACCTCGGATCGAAAACGAATCAGCCAAGGTTTGCTGTATATACCTGCTACATGCCTGTCAGTCACGCCACTCAAGAAGATCTGGTACGCAAGAAGGATGCCTTCGAGCGGCATTTTGGCACTACTCATTGGCCCAACGCAAGACACACTGGCTCAAATGCGGCAAAGCGCGATGGGAAAGATGACCCATACAACCGTTTTGAGCCCGTCAACAAACCAGTCCTTGATGAGCGTACTTTCAAGTTGACTGGTATTCCGTACATCAAGGCTTAGATTGTGCAAATATCATACAGATGTGTCACTCATGTTCAAACCATGCTTCAATCTTTGCAAAAAGCAAAAGAACATCCGTTCAGTGCGTGATTGTACTCTCCAGAAACATAATGCCCATAACTTTGATATACAAAAATATCGTGATCGCGAACCAGTATGTCACCAGTTCCCTTTCCATCTAGCATGATCCACCACGACTTCGACTGCAGCGCGGCATTATGTTTGGACACTACTCAATCGATGATATAGTTTGATACCTTTTGAGAATACAGAGGCGCTTTAGCTGCCTCTCATGCCATATCATTGCATAGATAAGGCTGCCGAAAGGACTTGGTACATCTTTCCGTCACCAGGAATTGCACCAGGTCCCTTGGCACTCAGAGCGTTTCACAATATTTCTCACTTCTTTTAGTATTGTGATTTATCGCCTGAGATGACGGCGCATCTATCACAATCATTGATGAAAGTTGTCATTATGTAAATATGGCGTCTTAAGCTCAAACACAGAGATTGATCTACGTATGGTTCTCTTAAGATGATGCGGTAAACTTGTGATTAACAATACTGAGCGATAAAATTATATATGCGTCAATAGTACGAAACGCTATGTATTTCGAAAGCAGAGGAAACATATATGAGCGTGCTCGGTGACCGTCTCTCATTGTCTTCTAAGACGTCCGAAGTCTGGAACGCCATATTTGACCATCTTCAGAATACCTTTTATTGATCTAAGAGGTTGTCCATAACTCAATGAGACATGGAAGGAAGTCCTAACTGTTTCGCCCTTGCCCATCGACCCGTATAAGCCCTGATCTGCTTTCCATATAAGAAGATAGGAATACCTAGGCATCCAAAGAGTGCCGTTAGCCCAGCATATGTGCCAAAAGATCCGTCATATCCAGCAGTGTCGATAAACTTAGCCACGCCATAGCTTGTACCAAAGGACACAAATCCGCGGAAAGCTGTGATGACGACAAGAACAGGCCCAGCCCGGGCAGGATAGGAGTCGAGTAGGTACGTGATAGCAGCGATGTTAGCTCCAAGAAAGCAAAAGTAGTACCCGGAATTGGCGAAGACAATGACGAACCAGTGGTATTTCTCTGGATATTGGCCAGCTTGGCCATAGAGTGTAGCGGAGAGGATGCCAACCATGATTGGGATCCACAGTGCGAGCAGGCGGTTCTCAGGCTCATGAAGACCGCCATTGCGCTTAGCTCGCCATTTGATAATTTTATCGGACCCATAACCAAAAAGAGGAAGCGTAACAAATGCGACAACGACCTGTCCAGCGTTTACATATGATGCCGCATTATCGCCCCAATTGTAGGGAGCACTAGTCACTATTTTGCCGTAAGTTGTACCAATGGCGATGTTTATTCCACTGCAGGTTGTCAGTTTTCATAGAACTATCACGGATGGGAATGTACCAACATCGTTAATCCGTTGAGGCAAAACGCCCACAAAACGTTAGGGAAAAGGAGAATTTGGAAGGTATGCTGATTGAAGTCAATTTGGATATGAAATGAATGCGAATCATTGTTATGACTTACAACAAAGCTGTAATAACCTTCGGCCCAGTCAAAGTCCCCAACAAACAATCGCATATCCGATTTGAGCGTTCGCTGTTGATACTTTGTAAAATCAAAGGCAGGTTTCTCTGACAGCCGCATCGGTCGTGTCGTCATCTCTCCTGCTTCGTCGTCGTTCTCACCAGCAGATTGGCCGTATGCTTGAAGGGTTCGAGGATAACGGCTCTCTGGAACGAGAAATATTGAAAAGAGAAGAGTCGCGCCCGCAAGCCCCGCGCCTAACCTGTACCAGTTTGCAGGGCCAATTGCTCCAGCTAGAGGAGATGCGGCAATAGTAAGGCCAGCCGAGAGGATAGTTTGTATCGAGGATTGCCACATAAGGAAAGTACTGCGTTCATGTATAAAGTGAATTTCCTAAATTACGAGATAAGTAGACAACTTATGTATCAACTGGATGCTTCTTACCTGAATCATCAAAGGTACTAGAGCCTCACTTTGACCAGCAGCAAGACCAAGAACCATTCTTGCACCGAGATGAAAATTGTAGTTGGTTGCTTGCGCTGCCAACAGGGCGCCCAATACTAGTACCACCAGTGATGCGAGATAGACCGGCCTTCTGCCGACTGACAAAGCCAGCGGTGTGCATGTAAGACAGCCGACACCCATGAACATTGAGGGATACGTCATGAGGGCGGTGATATCGGCGTAATCAGCACCATGCCTAGCGTAATCTGGGATGTAAAATCCTAATAACCCACCGAACCCAGATACCATTGAAAGACCAATGCTAGAGACTATCATTTTGATTAGTTATCGGAGATGTGTATCCAATAGTGGAACCTTACATATCGATAAGAGAGCGATAAAAACAATTTTCCTCCATCTAGGTAAGTTAAGCGGGTCTAGAAGGATAATTAATGATATGCAAATAGGATGAGGACTGTAGTACGTCACCTCTGGGGTCCGCACTTGGTGCAGGTATGAGGTAGATGTCTTTGTCATCAGTGATGGCTACCGTGCCCATTGTCTGGCTCTGATGAAGGCCATCTTTGCTCTCCTCGTCAGTCGAGAGGTATTCAAATCTCTCTACATTCACCTCCGAGGGTTTCGCATCCTTGGTTGTGTCGGCCATCTCCAGAAAGAGTTAACTAGGTGAATGAGGAGTCCCGTGAGAGCTAAGTGTCTGACAATAGAAGGAATGACCCGCTCGCCTCAATCCTGAGAGAGCTCAACAGGGTCGCTGATGGTCTGAAGCATTGTCACGAATGGGCATCCATTTCTTTATCAATGCTCGCTGTCGTCTTGAATCGCTCCCACTACGACCGATGAATCTCGGAAGCTTTGTGCTTGGAAGCTTGGAACACAAGCAAACTCCACATCCCGTATCTCTTGACCGTTGCCACGAATATCATATCGGGACATTTTTCTCCACGGGGTAAATATGCGGGGTAGGACCCACATGCCAGTTGGGCCTGGCGATGGGTACCATAACCGAACTAGCGTTCGGAGAGTGGGCAATGGCTTGCGGCCACAGAGTTCCGGAGATTCATTACAACGTGAAACGGCTAGTATAAGCTAGGGATAGCTTCATCGACGGATTTGGTATTAGGATAAGCATTCCCAAGATTTGATATCATTGGCTGCAAAAACATCTTGTTTCTAAAACTTGAGAAGTTTCCCACAAAAACATCCACAACGTACTCTATAGATTACCAAGTCTCGTCACCATCGAGCAAGGCCTTTGAGTATCACCCGCTATAGCAAAGGGGACTTGTCTCCACGACTGCGCGGCCATGGATTAATCATCGAGAAAAGCTAGTGCTAGTCGTCCTAAGTCAACAGATCATAGGGTCAAACTCATAAAATGCCACATCGCAAATCTGAAAACGGGTTTGCTACTAGTACGCTATAAGATTCTTCCAATTCCAATCATATATCATTATATTGAGACAAACGGGAGAATGATGTGACTGGGTGTATCAGGACCAACGTGAATTCTGTGCTCGCCTTTGTTTCTCTCATGCTCTGGGCGCTCAGTTGAGAATGCGGTATACTCAGCAATAGATGGAAATGTTCCTGAGATCTGAAGTATTCGTCAGTAATCATGCAATATCAAATCGAGTTTTCCAGAAGAGGCTCACCTGGACACTGATCGATTGACCCTTCTCAAAGTCTACGCCCATAGACCAAATGCCAATTTCGAGTTTCACGATGTCACCCGGGTTCACCTTTTCTTCGATATCGTGTGGGTGGAATGGAAATTGCTCGTGGATAGACTTTTCTGGGATAAATCGCCGATGGCTTGCACGTAGAGTGCCTACACTTCCCATGTGCAAGTTCGTGCTCTGGCGATCCTTTTCAGGAATATCCGCAATGCTCTTGATGTCCTTTGGAATTGCAGAAAATGGAAAGCAGAGATGCATCATAAGTTGACCATTCTTGTCGCGCTTACGTAGTATGACGAAAACGTTCATATCGTCATGTGAAGGGCAAGACATGTACAGGACTGCTTTTGGTAGTCCAATGAGTCGGGACTTTTCGGTAAAAGTATAATTGAACTCTGCCATTGACTTTGCGTCCTCAGAGTTGTAGGACACTATCGCTGGTGAAGAGGCTGGTGTTTCGCCGAGGCCCAATTTTGAAAGATAGAAATGGCGATACTGCGTATCTGGTATGGGGAAGTCGGCATATTCGATGTTGTCAATTGCGTCTTGGTCTCCAAACTGCAATGCGGACCATCGGACCTTCGGTATTGATGTCTCCCAATCATTAGCGATGCCCTTGAGATAAAAGTCGAAGTATTTTTGCAGTTCGTCGTGCGAGTGTTTAACACAATACAGCTCATACCACTCTTGATATGAGCTCCATCGGATCCACTTCTTATCATGAGGGATTTCGAGCCACGCCCTCACAGAACCCATGGTATGAATACTGCTGAAATCGCTTCCACTGATGTATACAGGACACTGAATTTGGGTCATGTCTGGTCGCTTGTCTGCCCAGTAGGCGTTGGAAACTGGTGACCTTCGGTACATCTCGGCCATATCCTCAATGCCGCCGTTCGGGTTGTTTGTCTTGATGATGAACTTGGTGATGAGATCAAAGTTGGACATTGAGAAGATGCCACCACGGCAGAACTGCTCACGATAGATATCACCAGATCCTTCCCAGGGCGCAATGGCAGCTAGATGGGGTGGGCGGAGTGAAGCGACGTGCCACTGGATAATTGCCAGCGCGGAGTTTCCTGCCATTCCGACTTTTCCATTGCTCCATGGCATGGCTGCAAGTGCTTCGATAACGTCGTAACAGTCTTCGGCATCCTGAGATCCCATAAGGGGAATGGATCCATCGGAATCCCCTGTGCCGCGGGAGTCGACTGAAACGATTGCATAGCCACGGGGACACCACGTTACCGGATCAAGGCCTTCGAATTTTTCCAAGCCGCTCAAGGCCTCCTTAGGCACACAGCATTGCCACACACACATAGGCAGCATGTGAAGAGCTGAATACTTTTTCCCGTAACAGGACCAACTGACGACTGCAGGCAGCTTCTCGTCATCCTTTACATCTGCAGGTCGATAGATGTCTGCATACAACCGTACACCGTCGCGAACTTTAATCTCAACATCGTGATCTATCCGAATATCGCTCTCCAAGGCGCGGCCTCCGTAGGGTCGGGCACCCTTTTTGACAATCTCGACCTTTCCGGGTGTGAAACCTTGGTAATTGTTGACACCGACTTCAGGTTGAGATATGCGCTTATACGCAACTTGGGGTAATTGAGCAGGCATGATGCGATGCCTTAGACGAGAGGATAGGTGTTGAAGAAGGGTGGATTATAGAAACCAGTATCACCATCAAAGATGAATCAACGTGTTACAGGAGGCGGCGTGAAGATGCTTTATGGGATGGAAATATGTTTACAGAAATCGTGTAAATGTTGGTACTCCCGACGAATTCCCGAAAACGGTTAATGCGCTTCCCCCTCACTCACTCAGCCGTCCTGGACCGTGTCCTGTCAAGTTTAGCGTGGTCTCCCGTACAGCTGCCCACATTTGCCGACTCGGGATTGTGGGCGCGCCACGGGTAGAGACTTCCGGAACCCCACATGAGCAATCATCAAGTGATGTCTCACAAGAGACATTTAAAGCTTTCAAGACTGTGCTGTAAAAGTCAATACACCATCTTTTGTTGTGGACAGTAACATAAAGAACTCTCATTCAACATTTTTGCAAGTCAAATAATTTATCATGGCCCCTCACGCTGAAGAGCCCAAGGCCGATACGGGTGTCGACCTCATTCAGCACGATGGAAAGACGTATGGAGATTGGCGCGATGACTTTCACCGTGACGGTTGTGCAGTTGTGAAGAGTGTCATTACACCAGAACGAGCCGAATACTACAAACAAAAGCAAATCGAATGGCTGCAATCGTTTGGTCTTGGCTTTGATCCCAATGACGAATCCACCTGGACTGCCGACCATCTCCCAGTTAGTTTTAAAGGCGGCATGTACTTCGCCTACGCTAGCACTCACGAGAAGTTTGTCTGGGAAGCCCGGACAGAGCCCAAGGTGGTGGATGTATTCACGAAGCTATGGGGCACTGACGAGCTTCTGTGCTCCTTTGATGGCATGAACGTTACCCTACCACGACAAAAAGACTTGACTTGGAGCCCATGGCCACATTGCGATCAAAACGAGAACCGCAAGGGAATGCAATGCGTACAGGGTTTGCTGAACTTTCAGCCCAATGGACCAAAGGATGGTGGTTTGATTTTGATGAAGGGTAGTTCAAAACTATTTGATGAATTCTTCGCCGAAAAGCGGGAACAGGACGAACATGAAGACAAGCCACCGCCAGAGGAGGAAATGAGAGACCTTTTTATCTTCAAGGAAGAAGACGTGAAGTGGTTCGAGAGCAGGGGCTGTACATTGCAGAAGATGAACCTGGACCCCGGCGACTTGGTACGTACATGAGGATATTCGTCTCGAGGTATGACTCATTCAATATTCAGGTTCTTTGGGACAGCCGGACGATGCACTATGCCGCTCACCCCCAAGGCGATCTTATTCGACACGTGCAATACATCTGCATGACACCACGAAAGTTCGCAAAGGAAGAAGACGTGAAGCTAAAAGCTGAACTGTTCCAAAATTTCCAGGGCACCACGCACTGGCCTCATTGCAACATTCACAAGGCTGGCCCACCACTACGCAACGGCAAGTTATGTCCGAAGGACCGGAATGAGCCTTTAGAGAAACCGGTTATTACGGACCAGATCTTGAAATTGGCCGGAGTGAAGGCGTACTAAGGGACACATCCTATTTTTGCATTTGTACGTGAAGAATGATGCTTCGATAAGATGGCCAGGGTTATCTGGGCTGCTATGGCGACTCAGTATAGCAGGTTCGTGTCCATTGTATGCTACAAAATAAGAATTCAACTTGATAAATAAGACCCATAGCTATCCAAGTGCCTTGAAAATGTCTTTCACGCATGAGAAATGGTGATCATGTTCTTTCAAGTTATTTCCTTGGTGTATTATTCTCGATAACTATAGCTGACTGAATCTCACTCTCAATATGTGGCGCCTCACCCGTCCGCACGCCCCATGGGAGGCTTTTAGATAGGACGTAAAATCTGAACGCACACACACAATATGTGCTGCTATCCGTCCGATTCAAAAACAACTATGGAAATGAAGCTTGCTATATTTCGAGGCGTTGGCTTGCAAGAGATCATGTCGATTAAGAGCTCACTATTCTACTCGTCTAGTGTTGGTTTACTTATCGTACAATGGTTACGCCAAAGTGTCTGAGTCCGCTGTCTCAGCGCCGCTCGGATGTCGTACAGAGTTCAGATGGTCTAAATAACATCCGGATTCTGTGAATGATCCGAGATCTCATCAAGGAGCTATCCATAGGGCGTTTATCCCGTCATATATTGCGATGGGAAGTGGCTGGTACATTAGTAAAAAGTATATCGGGGAGTGTACCATGGAAGTTTATCTATTGTGTCGGCTACCGAGAATAACAAAATCATGTATGAAATAGTAATATCCCGATTCAAGTGCAACAATGTTCTTGATCTTGATTCAGATAAGCCAACCTGCTACCCTAAGCACCCAAGCTTGTTGGAGTACCTGCTAAAATTGTCGAACTGACTGATCAGGCATGCCAAGTTTCCAACCTCGGCAAGGATCAGGGATATTAAGCGAAGTCAATCCTCTCTCACATCGACCCGCGCTGGGGTTTGCAGCGCACTCCTCACCGTTGCTATCAACTATAAAGCAAATTGTAGATCTTTATTTGGACGTTAGTATGGACTTGTTTGATTACAACGACTCTTACTTACGAGCCAGGATTAGGTAATGCACTGTAGCAGTTGACTGGAGGGTTTTTGTCCGTGCACGTCTGGCTTGTGAAAGAGTACATCTTTCGGCCAAGGTCTAGAGTTGTAACCTGTATGATAATCAGCGATAGAACCTTCTCGCTAAATCTAAATTCAACTTGTTGGAAAAGAACATACAACAAATAAGTCATTATCACTAGGCTTAGCACCGTAGAGGCAATGGTCTGGAAACTCAGCTTTGGAGATGATGTCATATTCACCGCTCCAAGTGTCGATGTCTACCGATACAGATTGTTGAAGATCCAAGCGTGTGCCATCAGGGCATTTGAAGGGGTCGGGTAGCGGTGTTTGGCCTGAGATGCAGCCTCCCACATTGTTGCAAACCTTCGGATTCCAGACTGCAAAAGCTCCTGAGGTCAGGAGTGAGAGGGTGATAAAAGAGCGCATATTGCAAGATTATGATTAAGCACATAAGTTCTCTATATTTGAGATGTTACACTGATTGCACCTAAGATCTCCTCATATATATATATATATCCACGGCATTCACGGTCCGACTATGGATAAATTCGCTAACGTACCATGTGAACGTGGCGGAGATCTTAGGGCTGACCGCTTCTTTATCACTTGGCCCAAAAAGCAGTCTATGCACTGTTTAGCCTTTCTCTCTAAATGGATCTGTACGTGCGCTGTTACCGCAAACTTGTATTTGTATAATTTGCCGAAATAAGAGGACTAAGAAAACGCTGCGTTTGGCAAGTATCTACCTCTCTAACCCCAAATCTTACAAGGCCTGACTGTTAGTGGGTATATCTAGTGAGGTATACTAAAAGTAATATCGAGTATATAAGGGTTGTATTTATCGAAGAATTAAATGTTCATGTAAGGGGCTACGCCCATGTGTGTGGCTTAGCTAGGCTAAGCAAATCGAGTGTATCTACGCAACTACCTTGACTTCAAGACAAGCTTGAAATCTTGTTACTGCCTTTTTGGCAAAATGGCCGGTGTAAGTAGTTGTAGGTTCGGCTCAAGGAGCCCACCCACCACAGTTTATCTACGTTATTGTCCATTCATCCATCATCGAATTCATTAATCGCTAAGAGTAGTCTGACCAATTGTTACTATGCATTCGCATTATAACAGCGAAGTGGTTAGTGCAGCACCTCTTACAAAACTATTAGAACTGGAAAGTAGCGGCCCTATCGACCACGATGCAACACCACGCTAAAATACTATGTATTAAAACACTATATTTACGCATAGCTAAGGATGTAAAATTAACCTAATACTTTAAGGCACTACCTTGATAGATATATAGAAAGCAACTAAAAAGGCCTGAAAGATTACGACTCCAGGGCTAGACAACAACTTCACAAGATTTCGGGACTTTGTAGAGTAGTAAGAAGAGAAACTTCATGTTTTTGAACGGGTTCTTTGAAAAAAAAGAGGCTTATTACGAGGCCTCAGGGTGGTCAAAGGCCTCGGGGTGGTGTCATAGGCTCTAGTCCTTGCAAACTTCATTCGGTTTCATAATCTCTCCACCTCCTCGACTGCCGCATCTCTCTGACCTTCTAGCTCCTTGATTTGGTCTATCGCTAATGCCAGGACTATACTTTCACTTGGCTTCATCGCGTTTATATCCGTTGCATCGCTTTGAGGTGACATGGTTACCGCCCTTCACAGCCGCTCTAGCTCCGGATTTATCTTTTTGCGGTATTTGCGCTCCACTCTAGTGTGATGAATGAATTGGTTCGTAGTGGTAGAGCCTTCTGAGGTGGGGCGGTGGAAGCGTGGAAAATAGCGCTTGGGTTGGGGGAGGTGGAGCGAGCTTAAAGTTGAGGCCTTCCGGGGACGGATGTTGGCTCGCGATAGGGGAGGGAGATGTAGGATTACCGTTGTCACTGAGCGTTAGCAGAAGTGAAGGAATGGACAGAAATGTATTCCTGTAGTTCGGGTGATCCAGGCGCAGTATTGGTAATTGGTTGTATACTAATGAAGGTGCTGGGTACTGGCCTGCTCCAGCTGAGGGTTGTTTTGGCTAGTGTAACGGCACGATTGAAATACAAGCCGCTCTCTTCTTGATGCTGGCTCACTAGTCTTTGACGAACCTGAAATTTACAACTCCAGCATTGTAGAGCCTCAACCAGCCCATATTTCATGTCTCGAATTTGACGAATTAGGGCGCCGATTGCGGCCAGCCAAATAGACATTTGACGGATGCTTGGCGTTACCCGCTGTCACACCATTTATGCGCTCCAAATTAAAGTGAGACGAAGCTGTCGCATCGGTTTTCTGCGACCTCTGTAACGTGGTACTGGGCCCCGGAGGCATAAGGCGGCAGTTGGAAATATCGAGATTATGTCCGATGAACGAGAAGGAGTCGGTACAGGTACAGGTCGGGTATTGAGTGATCAAGAGCAGCTGGTTCAAGACGTAGAACTCGAGTTTTAACTTGATGCTGTAGACGACGGTCTTGTAGGTAGTTTGAATTTCGAAATTATTTGTGAATTCAGTGACGATTAGACTGGCGTCCATGGCGACAACGAGGAGATTGATAAGAATTAGGTGCTGGATTATTTTTCTTTCTTTCGGCCCCCTGAATTCTAGGATGGGTTTGAGAGTGCGGGAGGCCTCCCAGATGTAAATGCTAGCAATGATGCTCTCCTGGATGGAGAAACCGACGAGTTGAATCTTTTCGTAGATAGAGAAGACTTCGGTGAGTGAGTTGAAGGTGCGAAGGTTGATGGCGAGGTACAATGCCGAGACAGGCAAGTGGAGGATCATGAAATTGGTGATAATCATGACTAGCACCCAGCGAATCTTTTTGCGATCGCTAACCAGATTCAATCGCGAGAAAAGCACAACAGCCTGGCCAGTTACCATAGCCCACCAGCCCAGGACAATGATGAACGACATGACCGCGTTCGGTGCGAGGCCGAACATGCGCAGCAGCACAGCCATCGCATGGACAGGGATCCCGATACATGCAACAAGCATGCTCCAGAAATACAACCCTCGTCGGTTTTTGAATTGATAGAGGATAGAAAAGAGGATTTCGATGGAATTGTGGATGGAAATGCCAAAAAAGGCAGCTATCGTCATAGCCTTGGGCAACGATAGATGTACGGACCCTGACTCCCCCGCCATCGTGGTGAATAGGTGGAAACGGCTGGTGCGTTGAACAAGCAATCAAGAAGGCGAGAACGTAGTTCTGGATACAGGCAATTTACCCCGTAGCTATCCGTTAGAATGGAAAAGCATTGCAGAAAGAGCGTGATTAAGCTTAACGCTGCTCTTCACGTCACATGTTCGCTTTGCATTTAAGGTTTAAGGGGGTATTATTTATGGGTTGCCACCTCCCTGTCAACGCCACTAGTGCTACTAGTGCTACTAATGGGACCAATGGGACCAAGTTTTGCAGCGCTCTCAGCTAGCAACTTAACTAGCGATTCAGCTGGTAATTCAACGAGAAACCCTACCAATGGCCTCTAACAACTCGATATCCTCCATTAGCCGTTCTAAGCGTGAATAGCTTCGCGATAGATTTGTGAGGCCCGCAACACTACAGGGCTCTACTGTGCCATACAGTCAAAAATACATCAAAAGGTAGCTAGATAGTAACTCCCTAATAGAGTCTCCTTAGCCTCTAGTATACTTAACTAATATATAGCGAGACTCACTCTTAATCGCGCTAAAATAGGCTTTGTATGAGGTCTTTATACATTCCTAAGAGTAAATAATATATCTATATAGTAAGTGGTCAATATTAGGACTATAATCATCAATTATTACTACTTTCTTTAGCAGTTATGATGAAAAGAGGTAACTCCTTATTCTATAGAAGACTTAGAGGTAGACTAAGAAATGTTCAAAAGAGTTTGTTACCAGAGAAGAGAGATTGAGTAATTTAAATAAGGGGATTATCTGTTAATCTAGAGATGCTATTGACATGTTGAAAGGTCCTGGCGGGGATAGTTATTTTCTAGTGGGCGATACAGAAGTAGCTCCTCGCGAAGAAGATAGGTAATGTGGCCATCTTCGATTTCGGATACAATGCGGACGTGGTTAAGCTCCTCAATATCGCCAGGGGAAGTACTAAACGCGACTATGGGAAGTCGCTTGCCCAAGATCTTTCTTCAAGAAGAGTAGAAACAGATTCGGAGCGCGGATAGCTTCCTAATGCTTTGTCATTTCATTTACTGACTACCTGATATCAGAACGAACGTTGGGTCACTTTAATAGCCCACAGTCTGAGTGGTTTGGTTGTGGATCAAACGTTACTGATATCCCGCGGCACCTCACAATTGCAATCGCCTTATGGGGCAGCCGCATCTCGTGTCTCTCGTGTCTCGCAGAGCAAAATGTGCGGGGTCCATCACACATCTTCTACATAGGACTAAAAGGACATAGTCGCCGCTCTAAAGCCTGGACCCGAAATTGCGGCGAATCTGTAGCAAGAATCACACGCCATGGTCGAGGATACGATGAGGAACGAAGCGAGGTGGATGAAGATCTTTTCCTTCTACGAAGAGTTCGCATATTCGGGTATTGGAGATGACGTTCAATGCCAGTCGGCCATCCTTCACAAGTATCTCAATGCTAGCATTCATCAGAACCATTCCAAAATGACCAAATTTAGTGGGTTAACAAACACAGGGTATCTTCGGGTATGCGGTCAGTTGTGGAAGACTTTGCGAATAATTTTTAACAACTGCGGAGGAACAAGAGCATGCAAGAAATCGGGAGTAGTATAACTGGCGCCATTGTATCCGGGGGTTGTCCCATTTTTATGAGGACTGCTAGCGCGAGGGGTAACTTTAATCTAAACCATGTCCAGATTTGTATAATGGCGTGTTGATAAGTGTGAGGGTCTAGTAGGGATAATAAGATGATATCTCGTGTATTCGAGATGCGGGGTAAGAGAGTGGGCTGTAGCAAAAATTGCTTTCCCATATTTCCTCATGCTTCATCTCTAAATTGATGAGAATATCCAGAGTCATATGGTTATTCTTACGTAGGTTTGCTGAGTCACTCTGTCGCTTAATGAGGCTGCATATGCAAGTAATATTGACTCCACACTATAATTTTCTATTAACCTCCTCAATCGAATCGTGCGCGACCAGCAAATCCGAAAGCTTTTGTCAAAGATCTGAACGGCCTCTGAATACAAAGTGGGTAATCATACTACCCTTCACGCTTTCTGTTCTAAGCACTCAATATGACACGAACACTTACTCTCACCCTTGGGTTTATGACCGTTGTCCAAGCTGTTCCATTATGGAAGAAGGCTGAGGTCAAGCAAGACGCTTCCGAACTTGCGAAGGAGTACGATTATGTTGTAGTCGGCGCGGGAACCGCTGGCACCACGATAGCTGATCGTCTCTCGGAAGATGGCTGGCGTAAGCATCAAAACCTTGTTTCCTTCGATAATCTCTAAGCTGTTAATT